TATCGTCTTTAGCAGATCCCCATTTCACTGACTACAGCAACAGTGCGTACCACAATCAGCCAGTGAAGGCATGATGTCCTGTAAACCAGTGGTCCCCAACCTTGGGCCTCCAGATGTTCTTGGACTACAACTCCCAGAAGCCTTCACAACCACCTCTGCTGGCTAGGATGTATGGGAGTTGAAGTCCAAGAACATCTGGAGGCCCAAGGTTGAGGACCACTGCTGTAAACTCTTCGGTAAAAAAAAAAAATCCCCTGAGATTATGGGATATTCTTGACCCACCCCATTCGTTTCAGCATCTGGATGGAGACTACCTAGCAACCATGTAGATTATTTGTTTAGTCAACTGGCCACATGATGAGCTGTTGCATGTGTCTGATGGAAGCTCCCTGGCAAGGCACTGGATTTGCATGCCAGAGGTACCGAGTTCAGTTTCCACTTACAAGGATCAGGTAACAAGGGTGGTTAAAAAAAATAAAATAAACAGCCAATCTGCCTGAGACCCAGGAGAGACATGGCTGGTCAAAGCTGATGTAGAGGCAAGGAAATTCTGGAAGTTGTAGTAGAAAAGAGCACTTTTCATCCAAGCTCTGCTCCCTATATTCCATATCACCTTCCTGATGATGTGGTTTTCTCCATTTACATTTTGTTTACTGAGTTGCCTTTAAAAAAAAAAAGCAGGCAACCAAGCGGCCCGAACACTCCTTGACAAGACTCATTGTGTCGGTGGCTTCTGTAGCAGCACCTGATTGTGGTCGGACACCTGTCCTCTTTCCCCACCTTTCTCTTTCTTCCTCCCCTGCATTACCTGGTTGGTTGGGTTCCACCTGTCACATCTTGTCCCCGATCCACTGGGTGGGCAGCTGTGCTGGGTTTTAGTGTGCAAGTATTGTTACTGTATTGGTACCTGAACAAACACCTGGAAGAAGGAATGGGTACGTACATGGTATGCATGTATTTGTACCATACCAGGAAGCACCTGAACAAACACCTGGGAGGACCTGCAGAGCAAAAGAGCAACTGGTCGAGGCCAGGGGTTGACATCTGGAGCACCAACTAACCCAAGGGTCAGGCTCATATTCTCCCAACCCACCCACCTGCTTTCTAGGGAAAATCCTGTACAATGTCGTTGATTGCCAAAGGATGGGAGAAAATGCTAGAAAAATAGCCCCGTGTGTCCTTAGTAGAAATGTACATTTTTGTGGAATTTAATGGAAATAAATTTTCTTTAAAAAGTGGGCTACGAATCATTGAATGGGCATTAAAAGTTGATGCATGCTTGAAACAGCTGCATATACTATACAAGGGGGAAAGGGCATTTTATTCTGGACTCTGAGCAGTTTGGATGACGAGGCATGGGGGGAAGGGAACCAAAGTTTTGAATGCACCCAGCTCCCATAATCCCTCACCCTTGGCTACAGCAGCTGGGGCTGATGGGACCTATAGGCAGCTCAAAACCTAGAGTGCCACAATGGAATGACACCAGTTTGGGCTGTTAAAAAAAAATTCACAGATTAGGTGTTTGCAGTAACAACAGCACTTTTATTGCCGTCCTTCTTATCCTAAGTAAGAAATAGCACTGCTTTGGAAGGGGAGCAACAGCCAGTAAATTTAAATAGATTTCTCTTCTTGGCCCACCGTCGCCAAAGCATTAGCTCATCTGTTGGCTATGTGCTTGCAGGGACCCAGGTGCAAATTTCTCCCTGGCCACAAATCTCACTTGGGCGAGCAACCGCCTCTCTCTCGCTCAAACTTACCTTGCAGGTTTGTTGCGACAACCGGCGAGATAAGGGCTGTGGAGTATTTTGTTCCCTAAAGTGTTTTGCAGACGAGATAAATAGTAATTATTTTGCCCTCTCTCCGCAGAGGATGGCTGATTTCATCTGTGAGAATTGGGTTCCTGTCAGAGATGGCAAAGAAGGAAGGGAATTCCAAAGAATATTTAGAGGAAGTTCCGTGGCTCACTTAGAACTTTTTATTTGTTAATGGCGGTGGCTTGATGGGAAAAGAGAACGTGTTAACAGTTGAATGGAAGTCGGAATTTTAGCAGGTGTAAGATAGCTCAGGGGTTTGAGGTAGAGGCCGACAGTTCGATTCCCCAGCGTGCCTCCTGGAAGAAGAGCCAGCCTGGGTGGCCTTGGGGCAGCTGCACAGTCCCAGGGCTCCCCCAGAAGAAAGTAACCCACTTCTGAGTCTTTTTTTACCTCTGTGGCTCCCCCCATATTCTTGGACTAAAACTCCCAGAAGCCTTTGCCACTAGCTTTGCAAGTCAGGATTTCTGGGAGTTGTAGCTGAAGAACATCTGGGGACAATCGTAATCCAGCCTGAATTGGCTCTGTGCCTAAACTGGGCATTTTTGTTTCCAAAGACAGGACACCTCTTGTTTTTTTGGGGGGGGGGCTGGGTCAGAGTGAATTCTGCAATTGAAGAGTTACTTGAAGGGGGATCTCTCCCAGAAAAATGAGCCTTTCTTGTGCAATCAAATGTGTGTGTGTGTGTGTGTGTGTTTTTTTTTGGCTTTCTGATCACACTCGTAGTTTCTTTAGATATGTATACCCGATCTTTTAATTAGTCAATTACAAATTAAAATAAAGACCAGTATTTAGATCAGGAAAAAACAGAATTCTAAGTCCTCCTAAGTTCGGTGAGAATTACTCCGTGGCAGAGATGCCTAAAGCTCTCAGCCTAAATGCAAACTTAGAACCAGTAAAGCACAACGTACTTTATAAAACAACAAACTTGGGAATGCAAGGACTGCTAAAACCCACTTCTCATTCACTGAGGTCTGAGCAAAATGCCATCAGTCGAAGGGCCAAATTATAGGAGGCTCCCAGTTAGAAGTTGACAAAACATTATCCCTCCAGTGGCACATTCCTTCAGAACTGCCCTACCTGACCGGTCAGCGAAGCCTGTTACTCCCTTCCTGTTGACCAATGACCTCCAAACTAAAGCAAACTCCTTTGCAACTTTTGGAGCTGCGGAAGCTTTGGCTCATGGAACATCTTTAACTGCTCAAAGAATCTTGGCTTCTAATTGTAAAAGCTGCTTCCAGTGTAGTTTGTCTCTGAAATGATGGACAAGCTAGAGGTACCTGACCGGTCAGCGAAGCCTGTTACTCCCTTCCTGTTGACCAATGACCTCCAAACTAAAGCAAACTCCTTTGCAACTTTTGGAGCTGCGGAAGCTTTGGCTCATGGAACATCTTTAACTGCTCAAAGAATCTTGGCTTCTAATTGTAAAAGCTGCTTCCAGTGTAGTTTGTCTCTGAAATGATGGACAAGCTAGAGGCAGGGAAATTTATTTATTTATTTATTTATTTATTTATTTATTTATTTATTTATTTATTTATTTACTGGCCCCTTAGAGTGCAGGAG